TATATATATAAAAAGGATAATGCAGGAAGCCTCACACTTCCTGATATCAAAACATATTATACAGCCACTATTATCAAAATAGCCTGGTATTGGTTCAGTGATAGACACATAGACCAGTGGAACAGAATTAAGAATCCAGAAATCCATCCATTTATGGACAATGAGTTTTCAACAAAGGGCCAAAGTCCATTCAGTGCAGAATAGTCTCTTTAATAAAGTGCTTTCCACATGCAGAAAAATGCAACAGAGCCTATACCTCACACCATACATAAAAACTAACCCAAAATGGATCCAAGACCTAAATGTTAAACCTAAAACTATAAAGTTTCTGGGAGAAAACTATGAGACCTATTTTTTTTTAAAAATAGGCTAATATGACTACAAATGCATGAATAGCAGAAGACAAATGATATCACTGAGACCTCATAAAAATTAAATACTTCTGCTCATCAAAAGACTTTACCAAATGAGTAAAAAGACAACCTACAGACTGGGGAAAACGTCTTCAGAAACAACCTATCTGATAAGGGTCTGCAGTGTGATGGATTGCTTTTGTGCGGCCTTTCTCACCATGGTCTTGTAACTCCCACCCAGATGATTGGGTGGGACTGTGCAGATAGGGTAATTGTAGCTTATTAAGGGGATTGGTCAATTTTGCCATCCTGCTGGGCTTGAAATAAGCCACCCCAGAGGTGGGAAACAGAACTCCACCACCACCAGGAAAGAAAAGTCTGGGGCTGGTGTGTCCTTCGGACCTGGGATCCCTGTGCTCGCAGGCTCCTGGGACCGGGAGACAGAGGGAGAGCAAGCTGTAATCCTGAAGATGGTGATAGGCAGTGGCAGGAGAGACCCAGCGGGAGAGACTCAGCAGCAGAAGACAGCATGGTGGGCCTCCCAGCCCACGGAGAGAGAAAGCTGAGTGCCTCTGAGCAGAGGCCTAGGGCCAGGGAGAGGCATGCCTTCGAGAGGCTGGGAAGATGGAAGAACTGTATCCTTGAGTGTTTCTGAG